CCGTACTGAGGATCAAACTCAGGCATTCATCGTGTTCCATCATTTCCTAACCTCCTCCAATTTTTAATCTGTATCTGCTCTAGAGTCACTAACCATGTCCTTTATTATTGTCACCATCTCTGTAGTTATCTGAGAAATTTCTCATTTGATTTTTTTCTAAAGCCTCATTCATCTGCTCTGATACTTCTGCTGTTATTACTTAAGAGAGTACAAGTGGGCGTGGCTTTTGCATTGTTCCACTGCTTTGTCTCCTGTGTTTGCCTTTGGTGAGCGGGAAGTATGGGGTTGCATTTTCTGTGTCTTCTCACTTTCTATTTTTTTAAAGTTTAACACCTGGTGTGATGCTTATAAATTGCTTATGGCCGGTAGCTTTATTGCTAGTGTTGAGAACTGTTAGAAAATGACTGCTTGTCAGAGATGTCTTCCAGGTGTAGCTGGCTTTCGGGTACTGAGTCTGTTGCAAGATCCTGCCTCTTGGATTTATTGGAGAGAAGAAGTTGCTGCCTATTTGGCCTAGCCCCTGGCTCTTTGGCACTGGCCTATGGTATCGCTTACGACCCTTAGGTAATCTCAGTCTTGGCGTACGAGGAAGAACAAGTGATTAGAACAATGACGTCACTGTTGTAGTCAGGGTTTGCGATGGAATAGATTTAATACAGGACACATAATTTATAGAATTATTTTATAATATTCACCCAAAAAGTCAAATGCAGAGAAGCGCAAGAGATTTGTCCACACACTAGAGACCCAAATAATACTGCTAAGGGCCTGAATCTCACAGCAACATCCTGCACAAGTCCAGCTGAAGGCGTAGAGCCCAAAGAAATATCCTCCATGAGTATAGCCGAGGCCTGGAGCCCAAGGCAATGTCTCTTGCAAGTTCATATCAAGGATCTGGCCTGGGAAGGCCCAAAGGCCAATGGTGGAAGCTAGAAAGTCTGCACCAGAAGAGTGAAGGATTTGTGCCATCAGACTGAAAAATCTGCAATGGAGCCAGAAAGTGATGCTCAAGGTGAAGACCAGAGCTCCCCTGAGGAGAACAGCAGCCATCTCTGGTAACAGCAAGGATCCAAACTTCTCTAAAGAGAACAGCTGAGTTCATATGAAGAAAATTAGCTATGGAAAGCCTCTCCAAGAAAATCAACAGCTAACGATCTTTCCCTCCAGTTCTTTTGTGTGCCATTGGCAACAATCCTCAGGTGGGTCTCCCATGTCCAGAACCACACTGATTCAGTTCAGCTGGGCATTCCAAGGTGACTGTTAATCTACCACAGTTACCTTGGCTAAAGTAATATAATCAGTAATAACAATAGGATCAACGTAGCCTGGAAAATGACAAACTGTGGTAACTATTAATTTGCCACCTTTAACTGTATGAACTGTATTTGTAGTTATATAACAAAACCTAAAACAAATCAGAAAATTTTATATGGTTAATATACACCCAATAATATACCCTCAGTGATTTTTGCCCTTGGGGAAGAAAATTTAAAGGGGTTTATGAACAAAAATAGAGAAATAGAAAAAGAGGAAGAGATGAGGAGAAAGGCTAAAAGGGCAAACAAAGATTACGTAGACTTTGGAAAACTGGTTAAGAAGACAGAAGGAAAAGACACAAGAAAGATATAAAAATAAGAACAGAACGGAACAACAACAAAAAACTAGAAATAATGTTCACACTCACATAAAAAAAGAACAAATAATCAAAAAAAAAAAGATGAAAAAAAAGAAAAAAAAGTCCACATCAGAGCGTGTCTCTTCTGTCACTGGCAGAGTGGGCAGACAGAGCCCAGATCTATGTTGATTAATCCCAGCAAGTCTGTATCTTTAGTTCCACTGAAGTTCAGGCTGGTTTCTGGCTGTGAGGCTAGAACCTGACTTGTTCAGCCTGCAGCACTCCATGTGCCTCCTACCAGCTTGAACTTGGCTCCTTGTTCTCCTGCTGACTGGAACTCCTTTCTGCCTCACCCTGACGTTGAGAGCGGCTAGATGAAGCCAGCCCACAGCTGTTCTGAGTTTTGAGCTCAGGTGGCCTCTCCCCAGGATGGCTACTGGTCAACTGCCCTCTCCCGGGGGATGTCTCAACCTGAATAACCCACCACTGGTGTGTTTCTCCGTGGAGGCCTCTGAGGTTGCCAGTGTCACCATGCATCTGCAGGTCTGATCCACCCCTGCCACACAGCAAGTCAGGGCTCAGGAAGAAAGTGTCACTTGCCATCTCCTGCTTCTGCATTGAGGTCTCTCTCTTCAATCTCCCTGTAGGCCTCAATTCTTGCTTCAGATCCTTGCTGGGTACTGGGATCCCATTTCCTTCCTTCTTATTCCCTTACTCATGTTGCTATATACCAGCAACTGAACACCAAATCTGAGAGAAGCTGTTTCTCTGCTGTTCACCACCCTGCCATCTTCCCAAGTATGTCATTTTCATGTGTCTTGCATTGAATTGTTTCAGTGGCTAATCTTTTTTCTTTTGAGACAAGTTTTCACTTTATCATTCAGGCTGGCTTTGAATTCACTTTGTAGCCCCAGTCTGGGTAATCACGGCCAGGACACACACACAGAACGGCCTCAGAGCCCTGAATAGGTCAGCCGGGATCTGTCGGCTGAATGGGCTATAAAAGAATGGCAGCCACTGGTCTCCTCAGTACTGTCTTTTGCTTGCAGTGGTCAGCTCGGCATTCAGGGCATATTTTCTTTTCCCACTCTCATTCTTCAGAGAAACTCTTTTTTATTTAATTTTGAGCCAGTCTCATCATGCAGTTCACGCTGGCCCCAAACTCACGATGAGTCTCTTCCCCTCAGCCTCCCAGGTGCTGGGATTAACATGCCAAGAACACTTCTCTTTCTGCAGAGGTATTTATTCTTCTCTCTCCTCGTCTCCCTACAGTCACCTTTAATAAGTATTAAACCTCTACGTTATTCGGTTGTCTTGTCCCATTCTTTGAACCGGACAGGAGCCTGGAAGGACCTCGGGGCAGCCCAGCATCTGGTACCAGGATGATCACAACTTGCACCCAGACAGGCTTTCGGTCAGCTTGCATTCAGTTTCTCCGCCGGGAGCACCTGTATCACGTCAGTAATTGTACATTAAAGGAGACAATTTGACATGGCCCACTCCCCTACTCGGTCCTCACAGAAAGCCCTCCAGGCCGTCCTAAGTACACCTGGACTGGGTTCCAGGGAACAGCCGGCTGGGCCCGAGGACTCGGAGCTAGAGGAGGGGGAGGGGATATCGGGGGACTTTGCTTCAGGAGGAGGCGCGATGTGGTGGCAGTTCAGACCTAGGGCATGTACTTCGTGCCAGGAAGGGAGAGGATGGGGCAAGGAAGAGATCAGGTAATAGCAAGACGGCTCTGCCCCGGGAAGACCCAGCTGGACTGGGGCAGAAGGAGGAACTCTGCGAGCGGCGCCCCGCCCCTGGG